TTTTTTAACTCCTGCCAAATCTGCAAAGCCATCATGTATTGTGCATATCCTGTGCCAGGAATGGGCAGCAACTCTTTGATGTATTACTACAACGGGAAATCAGTGAGTGGACTTCTCCTTTGACAGAGTGTGTGTTTGTGTCGTGTGCGTGCTGGTGCTTGCGGCCGCTCGTGGGTGCTGGTTGTACCGGTGTGTCGTCAAGCAATCGTAACATCTGTCTGTCTGTCTGTCCATCCCATCCGTCCGTCCAGCCGCAGGCCAGAGCCGTCCATCTCCTCTCAGTCCTCTGCCGGCATCAGCTGTACTAAACGCGTTTTGAACCGTGCTTATCTCTCCTCACCCTATCTGCTGGCCCCTCTCCCCACGCCGCGGACAGCGCTGGCACCGCTGACATGTAGTAGCAGGACGGAGAGTCGCTCGGCACTGGCTGAACTGCAGCGGTAACCGACAGGGTCTGAACTGCAGCGGTAACCGACAGGGTCTGCTCGCCGGAGCAGCTGGCCAGGCCAGTGACAATCAGTTTGAACAAAAAAAAAAAGAAAATGACCAGAGAGCTCAGGACTATCTGTATAGATATATATTTTTTTTTAAGCCTTTTTGCTGACTTACTTAATCAGGCGAATCTACTGAAAGTTGTTATTGTAGCTTTAACTTTATTTTCATTGGCTGGTTTGTTAGCAATGAGTTGAAATAATCACAAGCGTGAGTCTGGGAGTGATTAGGGCCAGTGAGCTGCCTGCCTGTTAAGGTTAGACTTTTCCTGTTTGCAGACTGAAGTCCGGGCACAAGTGTTGATCTTATTCCATCTGTTTTTAATCCACATTCTTGTCTCTACGGGGAGCCTAATGCCGTTCCTCCTCGTCTCTCTTAATGTCCCCTTTGATGCTGCCTTCTGAAAACTTCATTTAGCTGTGCTGGTCACGTGTGTGTCTGCAGTTGATTGTGTGTGTGTGTGTGTGTGTGTGTGTTTGTGCCGGGTGCGTGCAGGTGTGTGTGAGTGTGTGGGTACACACCTGCACTTTGCGTTTTACGAGGCGTCGTAGACGGTGTGAGTGAGAAGCCATGGCGGGTCGCAGGTGTAAGGGGGGGGTGGAGCAAGGTGCAGAATGTCGCCGGAGCCCTTAGAGCGCCCTGGCTGGGAGGGAAGGCGGGAAAAGCAAGTGCGCTATGAGGGGGAGCTGTGTCATGTGACCCTCACCTCACACCATGCCTCAGAGCCAGCGGGGGGGAACAGTTTTAATACTGAAGCAAATCTTTGGCCACAAGGTTTATGTAGATGCACTGGGTATATTTCTCTGTGTGAAGTTTGATGTGGAGGTTCTGATGGTTTGTGTTCGTCGAAGCGGAGGGGAGGATGAAAAGCGGCCCGGCTGTTTGTCCCGCCCCGAGAGCCTCCATGCGGCCTGAGTGCCGCCCCTGCCCTCTTTGCAACAATTCCTTTTGTTCGTGCACCACAAAGGGACCACTTAGATCTTTTTTTATATTAAGTATTTCCAGGCTCGGACTGCAGGCGGGAAGATGGGAAAATTGGTAGCATGTGGCTAGAATCGGTCTGAGCTGAACCGTATGACCCAGAGCGGTCGGTAAATACGCCATAAACAGCAAGTTTACGCTGGGCTCAAAGAGCCGCCATCCCAAACAGGCACCTCCCTCACTGCCCCGACCGGACCGTGTGTCGGGCTTCAGGCTTCCCAGGGCTCAGAGATCCTCACCAACTTCATTTCTGTCCCCCCCGTCCCCCATTTTTTTAATTGAGGGAAGAGCTGTAAATGAGTTTGGTTTATTTAAACTGTCCCCTGTCTTAATATCTCTCAAGTGGAGTGTAGATTTAATGAAGGACATGTAAAGACTGACCGTCAAAAGTTTACGCTCTAGATGGCTAGGAGAGGCATCAAAAATATTTCCCTTTAGAAACATACAAAATGATATTGGAATAATTAAATATTTCTAAATTGAAATACTAATAATAATTTTTTTTTTTGTTGTTTAGTGTGTACTTGTATAAAAGTTGAACCATTTAAGCCCTGGTGAGAGATGTGGATCCGTCGCAGCTCGTGTTTCGATGTGTCACGGCGGCAGAAGTGCTGCTCAGCAAACTGTTGTGCACGTTTCCGAAGTTGCGCGGGACGCCGCCGGTATCAGCTTCTGCCTCTCAGTGCGGCTGATCAGCCAACTTTTCCACTAAAAAGTGCCTCCTTTGATTTATTTTATCTTTTAACATATTTCCCTCAGTTTTCCTTGGCCTTTGCACATTTAAATTTTAAATGTATGAATTACTTTAAATAATTTCACGCTGTCTTAGGGTTAATTCCGAATTTTTCCTGTTTTTGTTTGGCTTTCCCGCTCGATGCGGCCTCCCTCAGACTGGCAGCTGGCTGGGTGTCCTCTGTGGGTTCTGCTCTCTCCTCTTTCTCTTATTACCAAAGCCCAAATCACCTGATGCACCAGACTGTCAAATTCCTTTATTTTTGGTGCGGAAAAAAGAACTTCTCAATGATTTTTAAAAAAGTGTATGAGCCCGGGACTGTGTTGAGCGTGCTTGTATCTCACTGTATGGAATGAGTGTTTACATGACAGACCAGACAGCCGATAGCTGGCAGGAGAGTATGAGGAGAGCATCCTGCAGGAGGCGAGTATGGCCGTGTGCGCAGGACCTGGAGGCCGGCGGGGCCAAGCGCATGGTGTCGGGAAGCTTCATTAATGACTCCGGCGCTCGCTGGGCGTAAGGAGGACAATTAGCTTTATCCCGCGCCATATGCTGTCCATTGAGGCTGCGGGCGGGACAAAGGCGGCCGCCGCCGAGGGAGGGCCGAGGTCGCCATGGGAGCTGCGTCACCCGGGCCCTAGCTGGTTAGCTTCACGGCCCTGCCCCCCCCACCAAAGCTGCACCGGGAAGCTGCTCATTTCCATGGCCACATCAAAGTCAGGGAGGGGAGCAGGTGCAGAACAGGCCGCGAGTACATGTGTAGCCGGTGTAAATATGCGTGTGTGCCTGTTCCTGCATGTCAGCGTGTGTGTGTGTGTGTGTATACATGTGTGTGTGTGTGTGTGTGTATTCCTGTGCAGACTTGCATGTATGTATGTATGTATGTATGTATGTGTGTGTGTGTGTGTGAGCGCGCGCGCGTGTATATATGTATGTGTGTGTATTCCTGTGCACACATGTATGTATGTGTGCGCGCGTGTGTATGTGTGTGTGTGTGTGTGTGTGTGTGNACTTGCATGTATGTATGTATGTATGTATGTATGTGTGTGTGTGTGTGTGTGATACATATATGTATGTATATATGTATGTGTGTGTATTCCTGTGCACACATGTATGTATGTGTGCGCGCGCGTGTATGTGTGTGTGTGTGTGTGTGTGTGTGTGTATTCCTGCCTGCCTGCATCTATCTGTTCCTTTGTGTATGGACGCATGTGGGGGAGTGATGTGTGTATGTATGTGCGTACATGTTCCATGCATGTGTGTTCCTGCACATGTGTGTATTCCTGTGCGCATTTGTATGTGTTTCTGTCTGTTTATAAACATACAAAATTTAAATTACATATAATTTCCCTGTTTCCTGTTCTCCAAATGTCACAATAAAGGTCACAACACAGTTGCTCTTATTAAAGTAAATAAAAATCAAGCCAGAATAAAATGTCTGCAGGTGTGTTTCTGCAGTTTGAGTCGGGGGTTGGGAGCCCCCACTTTCCTGCGGCCTGTGACCTTGGGGGGGGTTTGAGTACAGCTCCTAGGAAAAGAGACAGGCCTCGCCGTAAATGCCGGACGGCGGGACATGGGGACATGGGGACAGATCTGGACCGTCGCAGGACGGGGCTGCCAGTGGGAAGACGGGAGGCGCCTGCTTTTAATTTTCGCCGTGCTATGACCCCAGACCGCAGCAAGCGGCTCCCTCCGTAGCGGGCTGGGGGGAGCGGGGGCCGGCCTCCATCTGGAGCCTGCGAAGTCGGAGCCCACATCACTGCCGCTCTCCACGGGGCTCTTTGATCCGGCCGCTCGGGCTGGCATCGGCGCGCGGGAGCGAGCGAGCCACGCACCCCCATCGCTGTTTAGCCTCACGAAAGCGCGGCCTCTCATGTCTGCCGTCTTTTTGTTCTTTGTCTGGTTCGCCCCGTGCTAATGTAAGGACGCGAGGTATCGCCAGCATCAGCTCGTCTGGAACAAGCAGTGAGAACTCAAACCCAGAACAGTCTGAACTTCATTATCTTCCGTGTCACGATGGATGGTGCTATTTATTAGTCTTTATTCAGCTATTTGCCCCCCCTCCATCATGCTGGATCTTTCCGTTTCTTTAGAAATACCATGAACACTGTCTCCCATGCAGCCTGCTTTGCCTTCTCCTGGGCATCTGTTGACTAAGCCGAAAGGACACCGTTGTTCTGCCCTGACTTATGTGTGTGAAACGTTGCATCGCTGGCTTGTTTTGGGGGCCCCGTTCCCCCTTGCTCGGGCCCCTGCAGGGAGCCCGTCCGTCGTGCCAGCCCCTGTGCCCAGAGGTACTGGCTGAACATGCCCCCAACCCTTTTCCATGTGAAACGCTTGGTGGTTTTCACCTCGCCAGTGTCAAGACAATCAGCCAATGACGTGAGAGCATGAGAGGACCAGCCTCTCCTATACCATGTGATCTGAGGCCTGCAAGCCCTGGCACAGTGTACGGCCCGATGGAGCCGTCGCTTTTATTACCAGCCTGCACTCCACTCTGTAGTCGGGCCCGATAGACTCCGTCCTTTCTCAGGTGCATATGGCGGGTCTGAGGGGCAGGTCCCTTCCTCCGCCGCAGACAGGGCTGTGTTTATGAGCCTGTATGAACGATAAACCCGCTCTCCCTCTCTCTCTCTCTCTCTCTCTCTCAATGTGTGAGAGCCTTTTGCCGCTGACGGAGAGGCTCTGAATTAATGTCTTTTAGTCCTGGGTGTTCGCCACCACTGACAGAGGCAGTAAATCCACATCTTTGAGTCCCCCGTGCTCAGCGGTGGTATTTGTATTCTCTTGGCAGGTTTATGCACCGTCCCCGAACTCGGACGACTTTAACAGAGACTCGCCCACCTTTCCGTCCCCAAAGCCTCCCAGCAGCATGTTTGGAAGCACTTTTTTTGGTGAGTGGAACTGCATCTGTTCGTCAGACATCAGCGGCCATGAAACGGAGGCCATGATGTCAGTCTCTGAAATCATCCATTTCCTAGCATTTAACCCCCATGAAGCTGGGGAGCAGGGCTCAGTATCACCCCCCTCTCCCCTCCGCAAACATGCACACACACACACACACGCACACACACACATACACGCACGCACACACACACATACACACACACGCACATACACACACACGCACAC